TGTGTTTATACTGTACATATGATAATAAACCTCTTGAATCTTGAATTACCTGTGGAATAGCAGCCAACTGTTCCATCCTTGTTTTGACACTCCTCCCCCTTCTGACAGCTTGTGGAGTTGCAGCTGAACTGTCCAGACTGGCAGACACAGCGCTCTGAGCAGTTCTCCAGGAATACTGTTGTACCCGACTGAAAAGATATAAATAAAAATCTAAATAAATTTAATTGTAAATATTTAGGGTTGCCCGCTAAACTGTTAAACTTAGTCAACTAAATTTCCATTAGTCAGATAGTCACAGAAAACCAAAAACAATGTTCAACTCTGTTCGAGCTGCGCCTTGTCACCAGGATGAAAGTACTGGGAGAGGTTTGTTTACCACACTAGCCTGCTTCTGGGGCAAGTATGCGCAACATAGCCAGAGAGGGGCATGCAGGCAACAGAACTGGGCTCATAGCCTCTAAGATTAGTGCAGTTTAAAATACATTAACTAAATGTCTCCTTGCTAGTTGTTTCGACACACTCAGAATAATTACAGTTTTGCTGTTAGCCTTTAGCAGGCCATTGTTAAAAATATCTATCTATTTCAATAATTAAATTAATATCAAAGATGTTCAACAACTAGTCACCTAATGGCTTGAAAAACTACAAACTACTGGTCAACTAAGAAAATCTTTAGCTGGGGACAACTAAACAGCTACCTGATTAGTAAGCTAACATACTGTACTGAATAAGCATTATGATGTGGATGACGGTAATCACCTTATAATATTGTCCATCCACTACACAGCCGCAGTTCGCCACAGGAACACAGTGGACTCCATCAGACATGAGGCCGTCATTACACTGGCAGCCCTCCTGGCACACTGGGCAGGGCTCTGACCTCTGCAGAGAGTAGCATGTGGAGGAGCAGGCAGTGGCGCACAGCTCATAGTGACTCCCTGCTGGACACGTCACAGCTGCAAGGACAAGAAAGGCCCAGACTCTGAGCACTCAAATCAATATAATAAAATCAAATGGCCAAAAACAACAAATCTTTCTAGAGCAGGGAAAAATATTTTGTCAAGATCGAGCATACCGGGTCGTCCTACAGCTCTGGTGAATGAACAACTTAAGGTTCAGCGTCTTGTTTAAAGACATACAGACAGGGGGAAGCTAGAGAAGCAAACCACCAACCCTTGACAACCTGCTCAACCTACTGAACCACATCCATCCCCTGTTGATGAACTAAAGAGCCCAGCCCAGGTTATTATATGTTATACATTCAGCACCAGTGAGCATCAGCAAGTCAGATCAGACTTACCACAGAAGCTGTCGCTCCTCCATTTGCTTATCTTGGCACCAGCTAGTTGACAGGCGGTAACATAATTCTGGATGTGACGGCACAGGACCTCTGCACCCCTTTTACCTGTGGATAGCTCCCTGAAAACAAACTTTCAATTAATTACAGGAAACACCTAATATAAAACTTAATTGCTGAGACTCTGACTGGTCAAGACAAGAAAGCAGTCATTTGATCAAACAGCTAATACCTTATCCAGATCGCCTAAACCACTCTGATTGCAAGTAAGAGCGAAAGGGATATGCTAAGAAATGTTAACAATCCCTAATTTAACTTAATTTTACTTAATTTAATTTTTAACTACCCTTCATAAGATTCTGTTTTAAAAACCAATCATCAGAAAGCAGGAGCTTTATCAGATTTAACTGTATCACTTTCACATTAGATGTATTTTCAGATATTTTTTACCTGACACAAGCGTCATAATCTGGCTGGGGTGGCACTGTTGAGTGGCAGCCTGCAAATGGGCCTTGCTGAGCTTTGATGATGTCACAGGCCTTTTTGGCTTCTGGGACCTTTTGTCCATCTGAGTCAGGGCAGGAACTGGCCCCACAGCTGGTCTCACAAGTAGTGTTGTCCTTCTTTACTACCCATACCGCTGCTACGTCTGCTGGCTTCTTACTGGCTAATGCCAGGTCATCATACAGTTCACCATTATAGTTGCCACAGAGACCACTAGTTGAGTTGCGATAGGTCGATGGGATTTGTAAGAAAACAGATGCCACAGTGTCATAGGACAGCGTCAGATCAAAGTCAGTTTCAATGAGGATGTTGATGCCATTTTGATGTGCCCGTACTTTTCCATCAGCCAGCGACACAGGAAGGGGGACTCTAATGTCATCAACCTGAAATATAAAGGAAAGCAGGCATGCACACACAGACGTGCGCACACACACACACAC